TGTATAAGCAATAAGCAAATGTATTTGATCTTGCCATGAAGTAAACTACAAAAATCCTCATGTCTATTTGATACTTTATGACCTTCAGTTGGGGAGGGAGAGAGGGATCATTCTGATCAAGCCACATGAATCATGTGTGATGGAAGACACTAGGTACACATCTGGTGTCTAATAGCTGTCAAGAGGAAAATACTATGCATTCTGATTAGTTATTGGAGTTTTTCACCTCACGTCTATATTTGTATTTTCTTTCTCTTTGCAGGTTGTCATTGGGCTTGACACTCCTGTTAGTTACTTGTGAAGATTAAATGACAGATGATGGGCTTCCTCTGTTTTCCACTCAGAAAAAGGATACCATTCTCTCAGCCATTGTGTCTTGCATAAAATCTAAGGTAATTCTAAGTTCTGAACTGAAGAAGCTTCTTACATGAGAAACGAAATATTTTCAAGGAAAAACCAAGAAAACCCAGTTGCCTTTCAGAAAAGCATCTTTGGGATAACCATGACCTGGGCGATTAAAAATCTCCACAGACATGGGGGACAGATGTTCATTTCTGGGTGTACTTTTAAACAATTTGGTGGTGCATTATCTTTATCTTTTTCTCTGATACTGAAACATTTAACAAAACCCAACAGGTTGTGAAGGACCCAAAGGTGTGGATGAAGGAAAGAGATTCTAAAATAGAAAGGTAAAGGAACCCAAGAAAGCAGGCCAGTATTTAAACTTGTCTTTTAACCTCATTGTACGTTATATTGGTTTCCTCTTCTTTTTCCTTCTTCTGTCCCTCAGCACTGTATTCTGGATTTATACTTCAGAAGATGATAAAGGTGAGATGTACAGCGCTGAAGAGCCTAAGAAAATAGCTAAGATATTATATTGCAATAAATCACACAAACTAGATAGTATTCTCTGATGAGAGTCTTAGAAAAAAAACCTGTAGTCTTGAAAGAACTGGATTACTGCCCAAAGTATGTAGTTTATCATTGCGCACAGCCACTGCAGCGTTCGAACGGTAGACTGAGTGTCTGGTCTTGCTTTTTTTAAAAAAAGTATAAGATTTGTGGAATGGACATTGGAGGAATACATTTCATTAAAATATTACAATGCAAGGTCATTTCAACCTTCTAATGTATACTTTTATCTTTGTAGGATTAAAAAAAAGAATGCAATCAGAATTAATAATCTGAATTAGTAACATTGTCTTTTGTGTTGGGACTCCAAACGGAGAGATTTGTGTCCAGGCTGCTACTTAACCGCAAAAACTGCTGGGTGACTTTGGGCCAATCACTCCCTCTCAGGATAATATACCTCACAGGTTGTTATGAGAATAAATTATTGGAGACACCTACCCATTCTATTATCACCAGGAAAAGCACAAAAGGTAGGTCAAAAAAAGAAGAAGCATATTCTGTAATACAGTAGTAGGCTATGAACAAATACTTTTGATTTGTATACATATATAAAATTCTGTATACATATATCTGAACTTCTGCAGCTGACAAAATGTATTGAAAATAATGATGTGGTATTTTCAGCAAAGAATATTTTTAAAAATTCTGCTGACAAAATTTTTTTAAAAATATTAGGATAAGTTATAAAAGTGAATATATTTGTTTCCACAGTTTAACAGAATGATATGTAGGCTTTTAAGGTTATAGGTTTTATTTTGCAGCTGATCTTATGTGAAAACTATTAATCTAGAAGGAATCAAATATATTCCATTAGTTCAGAACACCACATCCTAGGAAGAACTCTACACTAATATTACCCCCAGAATCCATCTATCCTTCCTCCCTTTCCCCTTTTCTTTCTCAGTGAATTTTAATTCCTGGTAACTGTAAACTAGTCCAGTTTTGGAAGTGGTTTGCCCTGGCCTTTTTCCTAGAAAGAGCGACTGGCCCCAAATCCCCCAGTTGGCTTCCATGCAAAAGGGCTAAAATTCACAATAATTTATGTTTTGTTATTGTATTTTTATAAGTTTTATAAGTTTGTTTTATATAGCTAAGATGCCATATTGTTGAAAAAGAAAAAGGAGAATTCTCATCGTGATACATCCGTAGGCACATTCAAATACAATCCTTTGATCTGAATGTTTGCAGACCCACAGATGTATCTCAATATGATTGCGAGTTAGGACACATTTTGCTAAATATAAACTAGATAATGAATTTTAGATCTACCTATAGTAATCATTTAGCAACTGGCACTGATATGGAAATGGTTAATCTGGAACCATAATGCTTTGCAACCCTAGGAAACAATCTAAGTGACTACATCCCAAAGTTAACAAAAAATGATATTATCTTTGTTGGATCTGTCACCTCTGTATAGAGCTTCAGATGTTTACAGATGTGGAAAGCAAACATTTGAACATATTTTGTTTGGTAGGGAAAAAAAAGACCTACAATCCATAAAGAAGGTCAACCTGTCTAAATAAATGGAGGAAATTAACCATTGCAATATTTTTTTTCAAACAAAATTGGCCTTTTTGCAGAATTATCTGGCTTTTCCTCTACCTCATGGAAAAGGAAAGGCATTAGTGTATTGGCTGGCAGCTTAACTGCAATTAAACTTTGGGTGTTCCTTCTGCATTTTAAGTACTCCACTTGAATGGAACAGTAAGTCAGTAACTCTAATTGAATGGTTACTTACCAGGGACTATGGTTTATTGCACTCGGTGGGACCTATTTCTGTGTTAATATGAATAATACTCATTTAATTTTAAACTCTTAAATGCGCTTAAAATGGATCTACAGTTATAGGACCCTGCTATTGTTACTGACTAGCTTTATCCTAGCTGAAAGCTACTTCAGGAAGGCTGCCATTTTGAAAAAATTGTGAAAAAAAACATTTAAAAGTAAATCAGAAAAGTATACAGTCTCAATCATTAGTCTATTTTTCAAAATCTTTGTGTAATATTTAGTGGGGATACAGCTAATGCTTGCGCAGTTTCTAATTTACCACTTGATGAATTGATTCAGGCTAGAATCTGATTAATACCATCACTCTTTCTGCCATGCTTAATGGAAGTCAGCTAATATCCCTATAATACTGCAGGTCCTGCCCTTGTTGCTGCAGCCACCAATATGGCTTGTGAAGTGTCAAAACAACAACAACACCCTTTCATGAAACTAATGCTACTGCATTTTTAAAAAATCCTGAACATTTTATTTAAAAAAACCCTAAACTCTTATATAGGGATGACTTCCACAAACTGGAACAATGAGACAAGCAAGGTATTAGAGCTATCCTAGATTATTTTTCATTTCTATTCCTTTCCCAACAACACAATGGCGGTGGTCTCTTCATCTTTATTACTTTTTATGTGTAATTTAAATAATTTTTCATCTGGGGAATGAGAAATGCCTCTGGTTGTACAACCTGATTCTGACATGTTGTCCCAGCTTGCTATTTCTTCCAAGCTTTGTAGAGAAAACACTCATATTAATTTTAATTAACTAAAATGAACCATCTCAGCAGGTGGCAGCATTGGCCAATGCTGTTTCACTTTGGCAGGTAGGCAGGGTCAGTTTTGATTAATCCTTGAGAAAGCACCAGGAGATATCAGGGTTGTAGACTTGATGGAGGGTCCCAAAACATTTGGAAGGCAGTGGCAAACAATTTCTATAACACTGCCAGCAAAACTGCATGGATACAATCACGAATTGTGAAGGGGCTCCTTATTTAAGGAACCCAGAAGCACTTGCCCATCGTGGCTGGCTTCAAAAAGTTAATTAGGGTTAGAAAAAAACAACCTCCTGGTCCCTTTTTGCTTGCCAGCAAGTTCTCACTAATAGATTACATCTGCTCATTTCAGCGCTCACTCTTTTTCTTCCCTGCCAAATGGGTTAGAATTAGGGCATTGATCACCAGTTGATAGTTATCTCTGTGAATTTATATACCCATGGCCCCTTATCCCAACAAGGATATCACACTAATTATGTTCACAGATCAAAATTTTTCAGGCAGAGATTTTTACATTGGTGGCAAACAAAAAAGGAACAAGAGCCAAAGCAAGAGACAACCATGACACACCGTGGTACACTGAAACACTCTGCAAGACAATGCAAATCACCTCTTTATGATTGACAGAACAGTACAGATACATCCACAAAGTCACAGGAGTCTTTACCTCTACCTATAAAACACGTCTCCAGCCTCCTAGCGCTCAGGACAAATTTCATTTTCCTTAGTAATGGCTGTATTGTTTGGGTTGACTGGAAATGTAGTTCAGGATCCCCGGAGGGCCTCAACCTGAAGATGCCAGTGTAGAAAGTTCTATACACGTGTAATTATTGCAATTAAGTTTTACTAGATCCTTTGGGATTAACTGCCGAGGAGCAGGCGCAGAAAGCTTGGCTTGTTGCCTTTAGAACTAAACCTTCAGTTATTCATTTTTTAAAGCCGCTCATCATGCGCTACCCGATCCAACCCTAAGGGGAAGGGAGAGAAGCCAAAGCCAGGTCCTCCCATAGCAGACAGAATGCATTTTTACCACGAAACCAAGGGGAAATAGCCCTGTAGTGTATATCATGCACCTTCCTAGATCCCGCGGCAAAACTACAGATCGAGTCATTAAAGAAGCAGATTCCATTTTAAGCAAGCCAGCAAGGCAGCATTACACCGACGGGTGTGTGTTTGAGAGGGACAGAAAGAGACGCCCTCCCCAAACCTCCCCCCATTTGCTTCAGTTTCCCCGCCCCCCGGAGACTCAATGGTCCAGGCGCGCCAAATCTGCTCCAAAGAGCTCGAAGGGCGGAGCGGTTACGTAAACGATCCCAGCAGCCCGAAGGAGAAGGCGGCCCGGCCTCCTTTGCGAGCGGAGGAGGGCGCAGGAGGCAGAGACAACCCCCGTCGCGCGCGTAACCCATTTGCTGGCCTCACTTCCCTGGGCGGAGAGAGGGAGAGAGAGGGAGAGAGGGGAAGGGGGGGGTCGATTACGTAAAGGCTCCAGCTCAGCTCCAGCCAATCCCCTGGGTGCTTTTAAGAGGCGGAGCCGGAGGGAAAGGGGCGTGACTTAGCCGAGCTGTCTTGCTTCTGTGCCGTGGCTGATATTATTAGTAACAGCTCCGGCAGCGGCCGCCGAGGTGTGAAAGGTGTTCTAGTTCCATCCCAGAAGAAGGAAGCGAAGCCCCGAGCAGCAGAGCAAAAGCCGGGCGAGGAATCCGCGAGATGAAGAAGCCTCCTCTGGCCGCGTTGGAAATTTCCCCCCGTCAGGCGTGTTCTTTTTAATTGGGGAATCCAGTTGGAGACGGGAAACCGGTCTTTCCTCCGAGCGGCAACGACGGCGAGGCGAGACTCTTTGGCAGGTGAGCCGCAAAACGGGCAACCGAGGAGGCGATAGCTACCGATGCCGGCGCATCTCCGAGACAGGGCTGGCGGAGGAAGAAGTATAACCGCACAGGGTCTGTCTACGTGTGGTGGTGGGCTCCGATGAGGGCAGATCGTGAGAAAGGGACAACCCGTAACTTTGGCTAAGGCGCGTCTGCCCCCTTGTCTGGCGGCGGCGGCGGCATTCGAGGGCAGCGCGCGAGCCCCGGTTTGCCAGAAGCGTTCGCGCGGCGGCGGCATCACTCGGGCTCCCGGGCTGGTTTGCAGTGGCGCGCAAGGCCGGGGGAGCAGCAATAACTTTCTGCTCGGCTTTTTCTTTTTTCTTTTTTTGAGCCACGGGTGTTGGGGGGGGGGCTCCTGTGGCAGGGTGGTGAATCGGTTGGAGCAGCTGTTTTGGGAGGGCAGGGGCGGAAGAAGAAGAGCGGGCGCGTTCACTTCTTCCTTTTTAAAAAAAAATGAAATGAATCTGCTTGCTGGTACGAAACTGCATCTCTCCTTAAACGGAGAGTGGCTTGGCTGAAGCTTGGCGCCTTCAAGCTTCCTAAAGCTGAGGGAGCAGGGCTGGTCGCTTTCCAGACCCAACGAAGTGCGCAGTAGGTTTCGCTCGGGACGCCGTGGTTTCCCCCCCACCCCTTGGTTTCTGTGATCTAAAGACGCAAGCGGGCGATAACAGTGCCTTGGAAAGGTGACCGGGAAAGAGTCTCGCCTTTATTTTTCATCTCTGGCTGATTTGTTGCTTGAGGGCAAAACGTAACTGCTGCTAGCCACAGCTGGTGCCGATTGTCTGCTTGCTTGGCTGCGGATCGTGGACTCAGGACGGGGTGGGCGGATGAAAGGCTCAAGAGAGGCTTAAGCACTTAATGTTCCCTCCTTCCTTTTTCGCTAGAAGATTTGCTACTGCGAGGGAATTTCCACGATTCCACATTTATCGTCACATCACGGTTCCTCTTTAAAGTGAGGAAGAAAATACTGGATAGTGAGGAATCCTGAGTTAGGAGGCTGCTGGGGATTTTTTGTATGGTCGAACCACTGGATCTTGGTTTTTTTTTTGTTTGTTTAATGTCAGAAGTCAGCTGGTGTCCTTGAACATATATAAACTCCTTTGCCTCAATAGTAAGCAAATATCTTTACAATATTTATGCCTGTCCAGAATTTCCATTTCGCTCCTGCCAGCATATTTGAGCTATATTTTTTGGATTTTGAAATTTACTATTTTGGTTGCTCTGTGATCCTTTAAAATCTTTGCATCCAGTTTTTTTTTTTAATCCTCTACTTCCCAGTTTCTATGAGATAGTGCAGCTAAGGTCCATTGTACTCATAAGTACAGCTATTTATAAAGCATGCAGAATCTTAACCCCTAAGTATAATTATATTCAGAAAAACATGGCTGTATACCTTTTGCAAAGATTTTGGAATCAAATCAATATTGTGTATAAAAGAGATGCATTGCCTCCATTAATTGGATATAGTATGTCAATCCATCTAGTAAATATATTCAAATTTAGTAGATCTTCATGATTAGGTATTCTTGAGATTTCTATCTACTGGTATGGTATGTGTGCTCAAAACTAATAGCAAGTCTTCTTTACAAGTAAGTGTGCCTATAAACTTCATGGAAACTTCTGAGTAAATATGGAAAAATCAGGTAGTTAAGCTGCAATCTTATACATAGCTTCTTTTTGAGAAAATAGGTCTAAAACAGGGTGTGTTTCCATCCATCTGTTGGTTTCTTTCTTAGCTCTATATAAAAGAAGCAAAATGCCTGTAATTATTCAAATCTATGAAGACGCTTATCACTGTAAAGAATTTTAAATATAGAAAAAAGTGATTTCGAAGTATGCTAGGCAATGGACATTGCTTAAATGAACTCTTGAGAATATGAGATCCAGCAAGACAATTTTGTAAACCAGTGTTCAAAAATGATACAATCTAAGATGACGTATTTACCTATTGGCCATAACACTAAAAGGAGGCATTTCAGTATTTTGAATACAGGCTGCCATTAGCTATATGGACTCTGTGCCAAGTAGTGGTTTCACAGGAGAGAGCTGCCATGAATTATTTTTTTTCCAGAACCTACTGTTAGTTGTAAAGCAGGATTGATTAGTATTGATTGCATATTACTTTAGGATCTCACTATTTTGACTTAAAAAAGGTTACGTCAGGCTAGATGTTTTTATTTTGTTTTTAAATCTATGTTTATATAGCAGAAAGACAGCAAGATCAAACGCATGCTCTAGAATTTGTATGTAATATTGTATAGTTGAGACTGCTTCTAGTCCAGGAAAACGAAAGGCCACAACAAGAATGAGTGTTCTTCAGCAAAATAAAGCTGGTAATGAGAATGGTATACTATGCAGTTATCTTTAGGATACCATCTTAATTAAGTCTCTTGACAATGCACCTGAGATCCTGTGTTGGAGATGACTTTCTATGTTAACTGGTGGAGAGTTAGGGACATTCTTATACACTTGATTTGTGGAACTTGTAATATCAGTGTACCCCTCTCTGGGAATATCTATATCAGTGGTGGCGAACCTATGGCACGGGTGCCAGAGCGGCACTCAGAGCCCTCTCTGTGGGCACATGCGTTGTCGCCCCAGTCCTAGGCCTTCAGCCGGGTTTTATAAAACCTTTTCGCTTTAGGCTCCACCGCCATGTGCAAAAAAAAATGACAAAGGTTCAATCAGTCAATTTCAACTTCTCACGGGAAAAAAAAGATCTTGCAAAGTTGGAAATGATTGATTGAACTTTTTAGTCCTACCCAGTCTACCGTTACCACCGCAGCCATGCCCATCCAATTGGCGATACCCACCCAATTGGCCACACCCAGCCAATGGGCCACACCCACCCGGCACTCGATGATGCATAAGTGGGTTTTGGGTTGCAATTTGGGCACTCAGTCTCTTAAAGGTTTGCCATCACTGATCTATACATTAATGAATATTCCAGGAAAGAATAGCTACTCCTTACAAGTAGCTATTTTCCATTTGTGGGCAAAAAACTGTTGGAGTGCAATGTTTTTGACTTTGAAGTCTCATAGTCCAGAGTTTCAGTTTGTTCAGGGCAGAGATAAAGAAGGACTTATGATTCCTATTGGGGGCCCATTTTGAATTACAGGTAGTCCTCGACTTATGACCAAAATTGAGCCCAACATTTCTGTTGCTAGGTGAGACAGTTGTTAAATGAATGTTACCCTATTTTACAACCTTTCTTCCCACAGTTGTTAAGTGAATCACTGTCGTTGTTAAATTAGTAACGCGGTTGTTAAGTGAATCTGGCTTCCCACTGACATTGCTTGTCAGAAAGTCACAAAAGGTGAACATGTGACCTCAGGACACTGCAACTGTCATAAATATGAGTCAGTTGCCAAGTGTCTGAATTTTGATCATGTGACCCTGGGGATGCTGAATCGTGTGAAAAACGGTCATAAGTCACTTTTTTCATTGCCATAACTTTGGTCACTAAATGAACTGCTGTAAATCAAGGATTACCTGTACACAAACAGGGGAAGGTTGATGGAAGTTGTGAGTTACAGGAATTCTGGACAAAAAAGAACTGTAATGTAGGAAATGATGTTTTGATAGAAGATAGATAGTTAAAGCAATTTCCATGGTTTCTGAAGTCAGCATATCTCCTCATAGTGCTTTTATATCTTTTAAATAAACATTCACCATGAAATTCTAAACACATTTATTAGAAGATAACACCACTGTTATTGAACTCAGGGACATATTTTTCAATAAACTAATTCAGTCCTTTATTGCCTTGTGTGTAATTGCTTCAGAAACCAAGATGTCTGATTTAATTTTTGGTTCAGTTCTTATCCAAGCTTACATACAAAGGCACATTGTCCAAGGCTTTATTTCCTTTAAGATAGAATTGACCTTTCTAGCGTGTGCGTATTTCTAAGGTTTAGCTTTAAATATTTTATAACCTCAGTCAGCCTTCTCTATTTAAAGCACCTTATACATAGGTGTTAAGCATAATGCAAGGATGGAGCTACAGTCCTAAGGAAAGAGCTATGATTCATTTTGGTCTTAAGAGCTGTAGAAGCTTCTTGGATGAGAAGTGAAATGTCTTCCAAGAAAAACAAAGTTCAGTTGCCTCTTGAAAAAGCACCTTTGGGACCACCATGACCTGGATGACTCAGAATCTCCATAGACGTTTGATCTTGAGATTACACATGAGGTCGTGTTGGGTTCTTATATGAATGGGCTAATTTGCATTAAGAGCCAGTTTGGTGTAATGATTAAGGCACCAAGCGAGAAAGCTGGAGACTGGAGGGTTCTAGTCCCTCCTTGGACCCAAGCCAGTTGGGTGACATTGGCCAATCACTCATTCTCTCTGCCCTAGGAAGAAGACAACCTCAAATCACTTCCACAATCTTGCCAAGAAGATTGCAGGGACTAGTCCCAATGGTCACCAGGAGTCAATAGTCAATTCCCCCAAACAGTTTGAATTAGAGTTTCTGCAGATATATTTTATTATCTTACACTATATTAGACAATCAGAAAAATACCACTTTCCTGTTCTGTGACTATCCAGAATATTACAATTGTAGGCCCACTTGAAATTCATAGTGGCATGTGCTCTCAGCTATGATGACTTTAGTTTCTCCATATGGAATTTGAATTGCCACATTAAAGCAGCTTTTTAAAAATGTTACATTATTTTCTATTTTAAATCATGCTATTATACTCTTTTGTTAATTAGTTATAAATATGGTTTTCAAATGAATATTTGTGGTGGACATATGGTTTTGAAAAGCAGAATCATCCAACTAGAACTACAATGCATTTTTTCTGTTGCAGAATAGAGAGAAGCTGGATATCGAGGTGCTTTTAATTGCTTGAAAATACTAAAGAGGAAAAAATGATTAAGAGGACCCATGATCAGAATAAACCTGTTGGAAAAGGGGGAAAATATAGAATAGTAATTATCTGACTACTGACTTATTTGACTTAAGTTTGAATAC